TATAACTGATTTGGTTGGAGTTCTCATTAGTCGTTGTCCTCTTAATTCAAAGGTGTATTACCGGTAGCACTTTAGATATTTTTTCTGCAAAGAGGATCCGGAGGAAGCTCAATATTTCAATACAAGGAAAATCAATGTGAGCCGAGCAAAACGCCGTGAATTACATTTGTAGGGAAAGAGGACCTATCAAATAAGTCCAATCAATCATAGGTGGGTGAGCAAATCCATATCCTTTTTAACTTTAGCCATGTTATTCAACCGATTTATTACACTTTCCCCGCTTTAGTTTTCTATTGAAGTTCCATTTGGGCTCACAAGACTCTTCTATATGACAAACTTTGTTATTATTAAATTTAAATGATTTGTTTAATGCTTCTTTTACTACGTAGATAACTAATCTTCATTGTTGTTCATTGTTCATGGTTTAGAGGTCGTAGTTTGTGAGAAAATGATATCAATCATTTGATGTGTACCACCTATAAATAGATCACCAACAATTGTTGAAACGACTCTCCATTATAGAGCTACACATGCTTGTAAATGGTTTAGAGGTAGTTTTTGAGAAAATGATCTCAAGCATTTGATGTGTGCCACCTATAAATAGATCACCAACAATGGTTGAAACGGCTCTCCATTGTAGAGCTACACATGCTTGTAAATGGTTGAGTAAATTGATCTGTCTCTATATTTAATTATTTTTTAACAATATTTTTGAAACATATTTATGATTATCATCTTGTTATAAGATTTCTCCTTTTGAACTGAAGTTTTCATAGTTATACTAAATGGTAATAAAAAGTGCTTTTATCGATCTTTTTTATATGCATCGTACTATCGTAGGAATCCATACCTAAATAAGAGGAGGAAAGAATGTGCTAGCTCTTAAAAAATCCAAACAGGCTTGGATTGCATAAATTGTAGCACGAAACATCATTACAATTCACTCTTTGCTGAGGTTCAACAACACTAAAAACAGATGGTCAAAATCTTCCAAGTATTTTGCAAAATAAAATCTTAGAATTAATCCATTAACTGCAGAGATAAATTTCTCAAATCATTATCTTGAACGAATTGAAGATGAATTTCTTTATCTCCTATAACCCGACATTTATAATGTTATCAATAAAAGAAAAGTCTCAAATACCCTCATGATTTAGGCGGGTTTATGCAAACCTCTCACTTTTTATCCCATTTGGAACCGTTTACCAAGTTTTTTCTAGATCAAAATTTTAATCCAATTTTGCGGAAGTGTAGTATATGTATATATCATTGGGCATTTACCCCATCGCACAACGCGCGTTTAAAAACTAGTATAATATATAGGGGTTTGATCACCAATATTACTAATTATAAAGGCTTGGACAAAATTATAATACAAAGTATAACATACCCCGTACAAAATTATGGGCCCTATACTAAACCTGGGCCTAGGACATAGGCCCTCTTGCCCCCTTTCAGAACCAGTCCTGATCGAGACCAAAACACCTTTCAGAACTAGTCCTCATTGAGACCAAAACAAGGATAAGAAGGGACTGAGAGGTGAAAGAAACAAACAAAGAAACCAGATAAGGAAAAAGAAAGTAAGGAAAATGAAGAAATGGGGATTGGAAGAAGGGGCCTGGGTCTGTGGGAGAGAAGAGAAAAAGACAAAAATGAAAAGAAAGAAGAAGGAGAAATCTATTTCTATTTATATATAAGAAAAGAAATAGCTCATAAAAATACAATTTTACCCTTAATGAATCTTAGGTGTCTACCTCTCCTTGATTTTCTCATTTGCTCTAGCAATGCCATGTGGCCATTTTATTTGAAAGTGCCAAACTTCTCCCTTTGGAATAGAATGGAGCAGCCGCAGCCCGCAGGTATTCAGTTGTGGGGCCCAAGCTATAAACAACCCCAATTTTCTTTAAACGGTTATAACTTTTTCATTTTTAATCAAATTTTTACAAAAAAGATATCAAAATTCATAATTTTTTATGATCTTTCATTTAATATCAATAGTGATTATATAAAAATATAAGTTATTAACGGTCTCTATAGTTATGCTTAAAATTATTTATAAATATTTACTGATCTATTTTGCTGTATAAATTAGGAAAGTTACTCTTGGTGATCATTTTTACCACCATTTCATATAATGTTTTTCTTTATTTTATTAATAAAAGTAATTAAAATTAAATTTATCCATACACTAAAAGATTCAACTAATTCAACCACTTCCCTCAAAATTTCATCCATTTCAAGAGATTCAACTAATTTTAGTACTACTAAACGGTCTCTAAATTCAAAATCAGACCATGAAAGGGAAATCTAAAAGTAATAAATTAATTTAAGAAAACTTTCTTAAAGTATTTTATAATTTGATGTGCATTGGTTTGATATATAAAAGCAGCTAGCTAAGATTCATTTACGTTTTTTTCCCAACCACAACCTCACGTTTTCAATTTATTCCCACATTCTAAAACTCCGATCTAAGTCAAATAAATCGCGAAGAATTTTATTGGGTGAATCATTACACATTTGTGGAGGATGTGTGATAGTTTTCTCTCTTATATATATAATATATAATGTTTTTTTGTTATAAGATAAGTCGGCTAAACATTGAACGGAATAATTTTCTCTCTCATATGTAGTGCTTTTAAGTTTAAGAAGATAAGTCGGCTAACAAATGAGCGGAATAATTTGATCTATCATTTGTAGTGCTTTTAAGTATAAGAAGATACTCCCTCCGTCCCCTTTTAAATGTCCCGGCAGAGGAAGGCAGGAGTTTTAAGAAAAGTTAGTTTGTGTGGTTGATATTAATTGATAAAATTAGAATAAAGTAAGAATGATTTTGAGCCACACAAACTTTACGAAATAAGGTATGAGATAAGTTGACTAACATTTGAACGAGATAAGTTTATCTCTCATTTATAGTGCTTTTTGGTAAGATAGCAAGATAAGCCAACTAACAATTGAGCGGGAAAATTTGTTTTTTCATATGTGGTGCTTTTAGATATAAGAAAGATGAAGCCATAAGCCGCCGAACAATCGAACAAGATATTTCTCTCTCTCAATAAGCAGTGCTTTTAACTATAAAATAATCCAACAAACAATTGAGAGAGAGATTTTTTGTATCATATATAATGCTTTTGGGTATAAGATCAGACAAACCGGTTAACAAATGAGCGAGATAATTTTCTATCTCATATGTACTATTTTTAGGTAGTAAAATATAAACTTGCTAACAATTGAGCGAAAGAACTTTATCTCTCATATATAGTTCTTTTAAGTATAATTAAGATAATCCAGTTAACAATTCAGCGAAATACTTTTTTCTCTCATATGTAGTGTTTTTAGGTACGAGGTAAGCCGACTAACAATTGAGCTGAAGAACTTTCTCTCCCATACGTAAGAGTTTTAGATTTAAAAAAGAAGATAAACTTATTAATAATTGAGCAAGAAGATTTTTTCTTTAATATGTAATGCTTTTAGGTATTAGAACATAAGATTGCTAACAATTAAGAAGGAGAATTGAGCGGGAGAATTTTATTGTTCATATGTAGTGCTTTTAGCTACTATTATAAGTAGTAGAAAATAAGCTTGCTAACAATTGAGTGGAATAACTTTCCTCCTCATAAGATTTTTTCATTAAGTCTTGTTTACCCATATCAAACTTCAGCTAAAAATTAAATCGAGAAGACAGTAAAATGATTTTCCGAAATGTACTGCCCTGTTTAACTGCACAGTTATCTTCAAAAAATTATTTGACTACCTTCCCGGTTGTATTTTTAGCTGAAATTTGGTATGAGTAAACTACACTCAATGAAGAAGATGCTCAAATAATTTCATCAAAAAATTCTACCGGGAACCGCCCCAATTTGCGACGAACGGGCATAACTTTCTATATAAGAGGCTAATTGAACACTTTACCTTCTATATTAGGGGCTAATTGAACACTTTAAGTTAGTTCATGTACCTATTTGACCGTTTAGCCATTAATTTTATTTTAACATTTCGTGGATCTAATTGATTCAAGAGTAGAGACCTATTTGGCAGTTCTCCCTTTTAAATTCATATACTCCCTCCGTCCCAATTTGTTTTGCAAAGTCAACATTTTTTGGTCAACCAATAATGAAAGTCAATCCTCCTTATGCATAATTAATTCAATTTTTAATACTTCCTCCGTCCCGAAAACAACTTCCCGGTTGGACTTTCACACACTTTTAGGAAATAAATTTGACGTTACTGTAGAATGCACCGTTTTGCACTGTTTAAACATTGTTTGGCACTGTTTAAACACTGTTTGGCACTGTTTATCACTTTTTTAATGTACATAATTTGCCAAATAAGGAAAGTATTGAAGTGTGAAGTTAATTTTGGGACATCCATTTAAGGAAAGTGGGAAGTTGTTTTCGGGACGGAGGGAGTCAATAAAATTTACATTTCATAAACTACATTAAAATATCTTCAAAGTTGTGAACTCGAAATTAATATATAATTAAAAAATGACATCCTAATTAAATGAACAAAATACAACTGTTTAACAAAAAAAAGTCAAATTTGCAAATCAATTCCAGGTGTTATGAGTTTCCCTTCCCTTTTCTCTCGATCTCCCAAACAAACAGGCACTTAAAACACGGAAATTTTAGGCCTGGTTTGAGATAAGGGAAATCCGGAGCCTGGCCCAGTCCGTTTTAGGCAACGACAATAGTGCTGTTATATATGGGACCTAATGGATGCGAGTAAATATGTTGTCCGGTCAGAGCCTACGGTTTGTTTGCAATCAATTAAAAAAAGTGATTTTGGTTTTTTTATAAGAAAAAAACACTTATTTTCTCAAACACTATCAACTTTTACTTTCTCGGTTTTCGTGTAGAATCTACTTTTTACCTTTTCTATTACACAAAAAACACTTATTTTACCAAACACTACCAACTTTTACTACTAATCACTTTTCCACAAAAAGTGCTTTTATTTAAGCATAAGTGTTTGCAAACAGAGAATAAATTCTACACTTCTGATGATGGCGAGTTGCGGTGTGCTGGAATCACGTACAGAATTGCTGAAGCGAGGTGATGAGCCAGCCTGCGTAACTGACGGTAGAGATCAGAAGAGGCTAAAAGCCGGTGAGAATGAAAAGGTGGATGAAGAAGAGTATGAACACGGTTCATCAGATGAGGATGATTATGCAAACGCTGCGCACAGGAGAGCCGTTAGAAAATACAAGAAGCAGTTTGAGGAAAGCGATGTAATTATTCCCCCAATTTCTTTTATCCTTGATCATTGATCGCATATAAAATTAATCTAGATTAGGTTTAGGGTTCTGACCATGTTTTTATTTCCTGTGGTCGATTCAGGGCTTTGAATTTGATCAATATGTTCCTCCATCTACTCCTGGATATTGCTGGGTGCCTTCTGTGGTTCTCGATGTTGAAGATCAGAAGCATAGAAGTCCGACGTTTTTTTGCAAAAAAGCTGTTGCTTTTGCTATCCGAAAGGAAAACGAAAAACGAATTCAGAAGGTAATATGCTACTCCAATCGTCTCATTCGACTTCGAGGACTTTCCCAAAAAATACGATGTCCCAATTTTTTTTACATTGTTTATGCTTATTTCTCTTTCTTCTACCCAAACCTCACCTACTTTGAATGTGGTAACTCCACAGGGAGTAGAATTGGGGGGAGTTGCTCTGGTTTTTATGTCGGAGTTTATCATGCGTGTTTAAATGTGCATATTTATTTATTCCTCCCTATTAAACTAGTATACTGTCTGTGAGGTATACAGAGCATTAAGTTTTTTTTATTGCTGTTTTATAAATTTGAAAAAAAAAACTAATATGAAAACTGAAGAATATCTTAATTACTAGTTTACTACTAGTATTAAAAATTACCATTATAAGATCTAGAATAAAAACTTACGGAGTAATTTGCAAACAGAGCTAATACCCACTTTCTAATTCATATGTCTCTATCTGTATAGAAGAAAGATACATTTTAAATATGAACCATTTTTCACCACTTTTGAGCTTCCATTGTTTGGTTTTTGTACATTTATAGATTTTGCCCTTCTCTTGTGCATTGATGCAGGGTGAACCGCTATTAGAATTTGTTAGGCTTACAAGGGCTAACAAGGTCTACCCTAATTGGTTTTTTGCCACATTTGAGGCCAGGACAGTCCCTGATGGAACTCATCAACTTTACCAATCTCAGATCTATTACAGGTCATGGTATTTTTATGAAACTAATGGTCATAATGAGGGTTTGGAGAATGCTCGTGTTGAAGTGTTCAGGCCTAAACCAGGTATATTGTAATAATCTGTACTTACTAAACACGCTTACTCGTTGATTTCGTTCCATCGATTAATTAGTTCTTATACCAAGTTCAATATGGAGTATACTTCATTGACCACATGTCCACATCACTCAATCTTTTAAATGTTGTTTGCACTCAACACGAAAATGAAAATGAAACCAGCTTGAATACTGCGCAGCTGTTCTAGAGTCCTTTCATGACCTAATTACTGCCTTTTCGGTTTGCTGTGGTTGCAGGTTTTTAATTACTTCAAGCTTTGTGATTATCACAACTCCATGAGCTGAAAATAGTTACTTTATATTATGTTTCAAACAATTAAGCCTTCAGTAGAATTGTAAGACTTCTAACCATCCACTCTTATTTGTCAGTTTATTTGGGATATCCATTAATATTCCAAATTGCAGGAGGACAAGGACATGTGGATCATGGTGAGGGAGATGGGGAATTGAAGGGCCTGTTGTAGAGGTTGCAGATGAAAATGTACTGGTTGTAGACGACGACGGTGAAGGAGAGGAGGATCCCGACGGTGACGTAGGTGTAGGAAAGAATTATCTTCTTCATTGTTTCACCGCCAGCAACTGTAGGGGAATGTAACAGGGGACAGTCTTGCTGTGTAATGTACGACTGAACTGCTTGTGATTCTTTGGTTCCTTTATTTTATGTTTTGAGTGGAGGTTCTTCTTTTAATAACTTTTTATTATTAATATACGGCTTCCTAAATAGGAGTAAAATTACTTCTAAATTCAATAAGGACCAAGACATGCCTATTTTTCAAAAATAGGACCTAGTGCTTAAAATTTCTTAAATAGGACTTATGGTTTGTGATTGGACAAACATGTAATAGTCAGTTTTAATCTAGTTTACAATCATGTTTAGAATCTATGCAAATGAATACAAAAGAAACATAAAAAGCTCAGGGCCGTTAATAAAATTGTGCTGCAATTTGCGTAATTGCATGTGCTCTAATTCAGTTATTCAGAGTGAAATTAACCCCAATTGCTTGAAATTGAATTCAAATGGACAATAGTAATAATTAATAAATACGCTTAAACTAAATAAATTTAGTTATTAAATAAATTAGTGTTTGATGATGTGTACATTGAAATATGAATTCAAATGTTTGTATTATTAAAAAAATTATAATGTTTTAACAAAAAATATTATATATATATAAATAAATATTGAAGTGATTTTTTCAGGAAAACGTATCAAAGCAACTAATAATCTAAACAATAAAAACACATGCACTAGATCCAAATTTCCTCCAAATTATAATGTTTCATACAACAGAAAGGGTTACATACATATGTAATTTTAATTACATTTCCTCCAAAATCACCCCTCAAATTTGTAATTCCCAAATAAGAGGAAGGAACCCCTTCTCATTTCCTGACTCTCCTGCCTTCACTTTCTCTCTACTACCCCTCAAAGACTTCCCCTACTCTCACCTCCAAACTCTCAAACACACCCTAACTCAAAATGTCACATACTCTTCATAAAAAATAAAAGGAAAATTAAATAAAAAGTGAGACAAAAACTGTCATGTTTCTTTTTTCATCATGACATGCTTGTTGAAGCCTGAAGGGGTACCTGCCTATGCAAAAACAAAAAAACAAATAAAGATATGCATTGAAGTTCCAACGCAAAACGCGGGGTTAAAGTTTACTTACCTATTACTACATGGACATGCATATATTAGAAGAAAAAGTCAAGGAATCAATAATTTCACGTTTTTTCCCTCGTTTTTTTTTTTGGCATTTTCCAGCTTTCCATATGATTTTTTCTGCATTTTTTTGACCTGATGCACAAAGGCATCCCTGGAAGACAGGAGTTCGGAGAATAGTCCCACCATAAGAGTTTATAAGGGGCAAACTTCTCTCTGCAAGTTTTTTAAAAGAGACCGCTATTAAGACTTACTTCATAACGTTTTGGTCACACAACAACACCTTAATCGGTGTATCAAGATTCTTTTGAAATTCTTTGCACAAGAAAAATGTTTGAAAAATTGGAAATATCGATTTTCCAAACGTTTCGAAGTCCAATTGTGATTCAGAGTGCAGTTTAATGCATCATCCTTGAATAAACTTCAGTTAAATGTGATTAGTAGGTACAAATGTAGAATCATGTATGCGCACTCGAAAATGAGCTTCGCTAGCTCAATCAGTCATTTGATGTTTAACTCGTGTATTGGGTGTTATAGTTTACATGTCACGAGTGAGTATTGTATAGGTTGTCATTTAGATAAATGCAACATGTTAAGTACAAAGTCAATTTATCATGAGCTTCATATGTAATCAGGGACGGATCCAGGATTTCGAATCAAGGGGGGCGAAATTTTTTTCGTTAGTGTATGAGGTGAAAATTTTAATTTTTCCACTAGTGTAGTAGGGCGGAAAAAATTGGCTGGGGTAGCGGGGCGAATTTTTTTTGCTGGTGTAGGACTCTATGACTAATTTTTGTTCAAAAAAATCAATTAGAAAGTACACGATGACATTCAAATCTATTAAATTACATTCTAATTTTAGACAATAAAAAAAACTTTGATTTAATACTTGTTAGTGCTCTAGAAATTTATTTGAAAAGAAGAAAGGATACAACATTTTTTATCAAATTATTTTAAGGTAAAGAGTTTAAAAGGTACACAAGAACCGATGCATTTTAAATATTTTTTGCTTTGTTTAACCACATGAATTTTATCAGAATAAAGAATCAAATTTTGAATTGCAATTTTTGTCTACGAAGGAGGGTATTCATGGATCACGAGGAGTTTTCTTAATATTACAATAGTATGTATGAGTTATTAGTTTTAGCATAATATGATATGTTTGTAGTATTGTTAATTCATGTATACATGGTGCATATTATATCTGTATTAATGCTAAAATAAGTTAAAGTTTATTATCTATGCAAAATATTGTTTTTACAAAGTAAGATGTAAATTGATCGTGTAATTTAGTGTCAACAAACATTTATATTTTGGATTCACTTTACATAATCTAAAAACTTTTTAACTATTGTGTCTGATATTTAATATCATTGATATTTTACAAAATTGAGTACTAATTATCTAATAAAGATAATTAAACATTAAAAAATTAATTTTTTAAATATAATAGGTATCCCAAGTCTTAAACAATGAGTTATTCTATTGTTTATTTGTTTAAACTATGTAAATTATTTTAGATTTTACTTCTTTTAAATCTCTAGTTAGGAGTTACATTATGTGAGCTTATATATTAATTTTGAAAACTAAAAGATAAGGGGGGCGAAAACATATATATCTAACTAATGTCCGAAAATATTACATATATAGTAGAAAATTTTGAAAGTCCAAGGAGGACGGTCACCCGTGTGCCCCTAAATCCATCCATGTATGTAATAATGTAAAGAGGTCGAATGTCAAATCATAATGCAAACTAGTAGTAGTAATAACTCATTTCTACAATGATTGGGGACTTGGGGTAGCGTCGTAGCGGGCAGGGAATTTGGAATGCCAGACGGGGTGGAGTTAGGGATGGACCGGGACGGTTCGGCTCGGCCCGCCACTGTGCAGGCCCGACCTGACCCGGTTACGTTGGCGGTATTGGGAACGGTACTGGGGGCCCAAGCCGAGGGTTAGATGGGACGGGCTTCCGGAGTCCGGACCATATTTTAGTGGACCGGCCCGGCCGGTCCGGGACCAGTTTGGGCCAAAATATTTTTTTTAGGGGTTGGGCTCGGTGTTTTGGTGGGGTTTGGGGGGGGGGGGGATAAATTAGAAAAGACTAATTTAAAAAATGACCCGACACGGGCCCGGTACCGGGCATTCATCCCAAATTCCCATTCCCGCCCAATTCCGACCCGGGGCCTAGCCCGACCTGGGCCCGATCTATCCCTAGGTGGAGTTTAACTCCTTTCCATGTTAGGATGTTTTTATTTGGACCGCTTATACTTCTAGATGAGATCAGACTTAAACAGATCAGGGATCAAATCAAACCATATTTCAATAGTTATAAAATATACAGAGACCAAACATTTATCAGACCAGAACAGACCAGAACAGACCAGATCAAACTTGAACAAAACAAATTTCAGTTCAAGCAAAAATATCGTTAAACTCAAGGGCGTGTTTTACACTACTTATTGAATCTTATCTTTCCATCTGATATGATTCGACTACCGACGGACCTCCGAAAGATACGAACATGGAATGGTGTAAAATTTCAGACCACGAGTTTATTCGAGTTTTATAAATACACTAAAAAATTATTTGAGACATCATGCACTGATACATCACAACAAATGGTATTATTGAGCGCAAACACATACACATTAGAAGGATTTACAGCTCTTCGGTTTCAGTTTGCCTTACCTATGGTTTTTGAGTGCTGTTTGACAATAAGCGTAAAGATAAATTAACAAAACGGAAAGTCGTCCTTGTCTTTTTATTCACGTGAAAAAAGGCTTATCAAGTCTGAGGGTTTAAAAAGATTTTTGTGTGTATAGCTCGCGAGACGTAAATTTCTTGAAGCAATTCCATACATATGTAACTTTAGCGCATGCGTTGCGCTAATATAATGTATGTATGTATGCATGTATGTGTGTAATTAGTTCACAAAATATAATAATATAATACTCCGTACATTATATTCAAAAGCTATCATATTACCTGTGTAAGCCATTTCCATTGTTGTATCCTTCAATTTTACTATTCTCGTGACAGAAGCGTTTTAAAGCTTTGTTATACTCCTCAAATATTTTTGTTGTGGGAAAAGAAATTGAAACAATAACAACTATGTTTGGTCAATTCCATTTCAGATCGTAAGAGGGGAGTTATCAACATGGCCGTCTAATACATTATTAAATTGGGGTCCTATTTTATTACTTCAAATACAAAAATTAAGTAATTTGTAATAAAAATGCAAAAGTAGTGGGCCAAATACTCCAAACGTGTGACTATAAATTGCAGTAAAAGGAGGAGATCGAGGAAGGGGCGTTCCTGCTGCTTTGACCCCCACTCACGAATTGCAAGGATACAGAGGATAGAAAGAACCTATTACTACTCCATACTAACCCATTATTCCGTAAACAAGTTTAAAAAAATGGGGTTCTCATATATGATGGGGCCCTGTTACAAAGAACCTAATGAACCGGTCAAACGACGGCCCTGGTTATCAATACCTTTGATAAATATAAACCCGGAATTGATTTTTCGAACAATTGAATGAGGTGTGAGAGCGCCTAGGGTGCATGAGTATTCCACATTTTCGAACAAATATTCTTGACCAAAACATATTAGTGGGAAAAGACCTAGAAAAGTACTCCATTTGATTGCCAACGTCATTTTTCCGTTGGAAATATAGTCATTCACTCATTCCGAATATACTCATTCGGGTGGGAAAACTTTCTTTTGGACAAATTTATAACATACGGAGTATTACTAGCCACATACGATAGTACTAGAATTGAAGGAGGATTGAAGGTGAATGAAGTTACACTACTAAAATTGAATAATCACATAATTAAGTTAGAGGACTAAATCTATCATTTTCTTTTTTGATTGAATTTTGTTAAAAGAAGATCGAAAGAGCACCCCAAATATATCTTTTTGACATATCGCAAAAATGGAAACCACTAGACAAAAGTAACCTCCTGTAGATTATCTACATCACATGGAAACCTAGTAGAGCTAGCTAGTCATAACTCATACTTCCTCCGTTCCTTTTTAATTGCAACAGTCAACTTTTCACGTTTGTCAACGCACAAGTTTGACCATTAATATCTTTCATTCCGTATTAGTAA